AACCTTTGCTTCCCACTGTGCTAGCCGTGCTGGGTACAGTCACCCTGCGAGGAGTGCTAGCCTGGCCCCTAGGCCCAGCCCTAGGACCAAGGTCTGGAACCTCAGCACTCTGCACTTCTCTTCCTTGTTGCAGATTGGCCCTCACGATTAGCTGTCTCCTTTCTACACCATCTCCGGTCTGGCAGAAGCATCCGAGGGACAGCAGGTCTCCTAGCATCAGCCCTACTGCACTTCTAGGATTCTTCTCAGTCTCTTCCCCTGCCTCTTGTTCCCAGTGCAGACATCCCCTATAGCCATGTGTCACCCAACTGTCATGGACTGTTTTTGGTCAGTTTGTACAGCACCTAGCACAAGGGGGGTCCTGGTCCGTGACAGGCTGTTCGGTTCTCCTGCACTACAAATAATGCTAATTTATTCTTAAAGATACGTATGCTCCAGCTAAACATGGACTTCAGCATTCTGATCAAAGGCAGATAAGTTTAGCTCCCCAACAGGCTTTGTCCAACTCTCCCAGTTGTACAGCACCAGTTCTGGTGTTACATGTATTGTTAAACTCAAAGATACACCCCCTACAATGCTTGGCTTTCTTTCCCTACTATTTATGCCTTTGCAGAGCTGGGTAAGTCTTATTGCATCTAAAAGAAAATCTTTCTGCTTAAGATCAAGCCTCCAGGACCAAGATCTCCCAAAATGGTTGTATAGTTTTCCACAGGTTTTTCTAGCCAGGAGAATTTAAGACTACATACCATTAAACAAACTTCACCTGATAAAGTGACTGAATCAAGAACTTTCTTTAGCCCTTATTTGTAGAGGCAACTGCTCTTTCCTAGCCCCTTTTAGGAGCTGACTTTGGAAGAGTATTAGGAACAGGGGACAGCCTCTTCCCCCCCTCCTCCAGAGGGGCTAGGAGCTCTTCCCCTGATACCAGGGATGGGAAAATGGTTTTAATGAAGTAGAGATTAAGATGAAGAAAGGTGTGTGTCAAGTTGTTTGGCACCCACCAAGCTGAACATTTCAGTTTGCGGGAAATTCCCAACCTAGTGGCAGACACTGAGCTAGGCCACTAAAGAACTGGGTTATGAACTGCACAGGACCAGAAGTCCTCCTAGCACTCAAGCCTTGGGTAGCTTACACACTACCTTGCAGGTGAAGCACTGTGTATTGGATGAGTGTCACCTCCCTCCCCATTGGCTGTGTGTATGGTAGCCAGAAGACCCAGTCAGTGACTGGTGGACAGCAGCATCTTTAAAAAGGGCATTTGTCTGTGCAGCCTTAATCCATGCAGCTACTTAGAGCCTTGGTGCAAAACAAGGCCATGCCCGTTGCACTAACACTGGTTGCTTGTTAAGCCAGCTGCATGATTCTAGAGAATTAGGCTGAAGCCATGTAAACAGGCCACGTGATGGTTCCTAGACAGGGTAGAGAAATTTAAAAAAAACAATTGGTTTAAAATCAGCTTTTTTTGATAAAATGCTTTTTGGGGGGGGGGAAAAACCACTCAAGATAGTTTTAATTAAGATACATTATAGCTCAAATATCTCATCATGGAATAGGGATTATAAATTCTAATTCTTTAGTATGAGACAATATATTCATGTAATGTTTAAGAAAAGTTTTGTAAATGAATTCCAATAGTTCATGGATTAGGGACCCAGTTTTATGGGGTTCCAGGGGCTTCTGTATAGAAAGATTAACCTAAATGATTTATCTATGCTCAGTCTAGAAGATACCATCAGAGATGTTAAGTTTTGCACTTCTCAAACTGAGAATGTGTGTTTCCAGAGGTAACATGCTTTTAACAGCAAAAATGTTTTTAAATAAATAGAGAGGTGAGAAATAACAGACCTCAACCCTATTGTCCCACTGCAAATTTGCATACACAGTCAATCCCTTACCTTTCTCTAAAAGCGCAAAGTTTCAAAAAGTTTAATGAATAGAAGATTGTTGGGGGGCGGAATAGATCTGGACAAGGAGAAGAAGTCTGGAGATAAATGTGAAGCGAGGGACATGCTTTTTTGTTAAAATATGTTTGCTGTTGAAGAAAAAAATCCAGAATACTTAATGTTGTTTTAGTTAAATAAAACAATTTAAATGTCTGTCAGGTGATCTTCTCTTCCTAATACAGCATGGCAAGAAAATCCTCCAAATATTATGATTAACCTGTTGAATTGGAGATAGTTCACCTCCCAATGACTTCATAAATATCTGCTTCAGTTACCTTTGGTAAATGAAATAACCAAACAATCTTTCATTTGCTTATATAGCTGTAAAACAACTGAAAAGTTTTCAAAATAAATCAGTTTAAAAATGTATAGTGTGTACTTTCTAAAAATGAAACCTACATCTATCTCTGAGTTGGGAAGAACATGTATTAAGGTTATACCAACCAACAAGAATGCACTTTTATGTAGAAATCCATGATTAAATTGAGTCTTCCTGACTAGTGATTTAAATCAAATCCACCCTGTTCCTAGACCAGTCCATCAACATCCAGGCTAGACATAGCTTCTCTTCTTCCAGAATACTAAAGCAGATCAAGATCACTGGGCCCCTGCCAACCTGTTTACTGATGTAGCATAGTCTTTCATCAACAGCTGGACTTCCCTCAAACCCCTAGTTTACTAAAGCTACCTAGTTTAAATAGCATTAAGTATCTCCAGAGGAATTGGTGGGGCACAGGAAGCCTCCCCTGCAAGTTCAGATGATACTGGTCCTTGAGTTGCCAGGGCCATGGCAACCCAGCCTGAAGCATCACTCCCCCACAGGCCAGGGTCATCAGGGTAGGGCACCCAAGGAAAGTACCTGTAATTGGTTGCCAGGAGACAGGGCTTTTAAGTACCAACGAGGATGGAATGGGAAACAGGCCAGAGCCTCTTCTCTTGAAGAGGATCTACAGTAACAGCAGCCCTCTAAATCCACTAAGCAGCACTGACCAGCACCAACTGAGTCTCAGTTTGGTTCACCCTAGCCACCAAGGGAGGTACATCAACCGCATGAGTCTACATGACTAGGGGTTGGGAGGGGGGGGGGGGAAGTTCCACCTGCGCCACTCCACTGACAACTGCAGAGGCATCAAAGCCAAAGCAGGATTTGGTCTTGATGCCCTGTAGGAGATGTGATGTGGTGCTGGATACTTGGCTATTCCCAGCTTGGTTAACTGAACAGACGCAGGGAAGAGGCAGCACTGGAGAGGCTGGTTTCCTCCAGGGAGGCTATGGTAACTCAGCAAGAGGGAGCCATTGTGCAATTACTAAACATTTATTGGCTGGTCATTTCAGAGTAGGGTCACTACACACGTTTAGTGATTGTTCCACAGAGCAATTCACTGAAGCCGCCACTTAACATATTCAACTGTCCACCCCCTCACAACATCCGATCTGAGGGAGTCCATACACAAACAGCAAGTGGGGGCTGTCAAGGCTGTATCCCCACTTTGAACTTTAGGGTACAAATGTAGGGGCCTGCATGAAAACTTCTAAGCTTAACTATCAGCTTAGGTCTGGTTCGCTGCCACCATCCCAATGGATTCCCTCCCCTGGGAAGCCTTGAGAAACCTTTCACCAATTCCCTGGTGAATACAGATCCAAACCCCTTGGATCTACAACAAGGAAAAAAAAATCAATCAGGTTCTTAAAAAGAAGGTTTTTAATTAAAGAAAAAGGTAAAAATCTCTGTAAAATCAGTATGGAAAATAACTTTACAGGGTAATCAAACTTAAAGAGCTCAGAGGACTCCCCTCTAGTCTTAGGTTCAAAGTATAGCAAACAAAGAAACACTCTAGTAAAAGGTACATTTACAAGTTGAGAAAAAGTAAAACTAAGACGCCCTGCCTGGCTATTTACTTACAAGTTTGAAATAGGAGAGACTTGTTTAGAAAGATGTGGAGAACCTGGATTGATGTCTGGTCCCTCTCGGTCCCAAGAGCGAACGCACGCCCACACAGAGCACAAACAAAAGCCTTACCCCCCTCTCTCCCCCAAGATTTGAAAGTATCTTGTCCCCTTATTGGTCCTTTGGTCAGATGCCAGCCAGGTTACCTGAGCTTCTTAACCCTTTACAGGGAAAAGGATTTTGGAGTCTCTGGCCAGGAGGGATTTTATAGTACTGTACACAGGACAGCTGTTACCCTTCCCTTTATAGTTATGACAGGGGCTCTGGATTATTCCTCTCCAGCCCCTCCCTTCCACACAGATCTACTTCTTCTGGTTGCTCCATTTGGCCATCCTGTTGTTGACGGGAGTCTTCATGAAGCGGCTAGAGCTCATGTAGGCTGCGACCTTCTCCAGGGCCTGGGATGGGGGGGGGGGAGGGGAAGAGAAAGGAGAGAGCAGAGGAAGAGCCCTGAGGAGAGGGGAGACAGTGCTTCCCAAACCACCTCACAACACAGCCTCAACCCCCTGAAACATGAACATGAAGCCTCTTCTGGGCCACACCAAAGGGAGTCCCCCACATCCCCCGGTCAGGAGTCTGATCAGTGTGATGTCTAGCAAGTCCCTGAGGAACCAGTTATACCTGCTGGCATGGTGGGATGTTTTCTGCCCTACTTCCTTTGTGCTGCTCAAGGAGTGGCCACACCCTCAACTAGCTAGGGTTTCCCCCAGCACTGAATAGTGGTGACCCCCTGAGTGCAAAGTTGGCTCCTGTACCTCCTCCCTACAGTCCCCAGGGAGGGAGTGGCCAGAGCACATCCTCAGTTGTAATATAATCCTTTAGGGACTGTTGCCTCCTGCCACAGGTTAGAGCAGCCCCATTGCTGCTCTCTGCTCTGGCCCTGGCCCAGGCCAAAGTTAGGAATCCATAACCAGCTCCCGGATACTACCTTGTACCTTGGCAGACTGGATCGGGGCAATGGGCCAGTCTCCACATACAAGGACACTCTCTTGCTTCACTGAAGCTATGGCAGGAGTCAGGCTGGGATAATATCGAAAACTACTAATGGCAAGTATGGCTTTTGCTTCCTTTCTGTCCCAGCACCTATTTCCACCTGGAACCAGTGCCTGCCACTTCAGCCATTTCCACAGCAGCTCATGGCCAACAACATACAGAGCAAGGACAAAGTAAAACAGGAGCAAGTGTACTTTGGGAATCCCAAGAGACATTGCTTAGGAGGGCTCACAGGATAGGAGTGTCCCATCCCAGCTTGCCAATGCCACCTGAAGAGTGTCTGCCAAGATCACCAAGCAAGCAGGGCACCAAGATGTGGCTACCTCTCCATTAGAGAAGGAGGTAGCCAGTCCCTCAGAGGCCAGTAGAGAGCCCATCAGATACATGGCCAAGGAGAGAGACGACTCTCTCTCAGAGGAAGGCCTCAGTCAGGGCTGAAGCAAATCTACAGGGCACTGGAAGGGGAAAAACCTGTGTGGTTACAGAGCAAAGACTACTTCACTCCCTCCAGAGTTGTCTGCCCTACTGGTGCCAGAGGGGGGCAGTCTGACATCTCCATTACCACCAGAAGCACTAACAAGTACTTGTTAGCAATAGCTCTGGCAGCTGCTGTATCTGTTAGCAAATGAAATTCTTTGCCTGTTGCCCAGTTCTCTGCAAAGGAGTTAATGTTTGCAGCTGGGCTGTCCCTGGATAACCAGAGCAGTGCATTACAGGAATCAGGGCAAACCTCACCTCAAAGCGGTCAAGAAAATCCTTCAGGTTTTGGAACTGATCCAGGCACTTGGGCTCAAACATGCGGTTCTGGTCCAGGATGTCATACATGACAAAGTCAACAAAAGTGATCTGGAGAGAGAAGAGAGAGAGAAGTGACACAGGGCAGTGGAGTCTGTTCCCATGCCCCTCCCCCAATCACACCCCCACCATGTACCTTTTCCCCAGCAAACCACTTCCTCTTCCCCAGGAACTGAGAGAACAGCTTCAGCTTCCCAGGCAACTGCTCCAAGTAGCCAGACTTCAGTTTCTCCTGCAGAGAGGAAGAGGGAAAGTTTTCAGAGACAGCTGTGGATTAGACCAAGGCAACCCTGTGCCCACCCAATGTACAGTAAATTCTTGTAGTGGGAAGGGCACCTGGAGTTTGCCATTGTCATAATAGGGATCTAAGGGTGAGCAGTATCATGTTTTAGGGCAGGTCACCTGTGAGGGCCAGGAAGGAATTCCCCCGGTACAGCATTATGCAAGTGACTCAGACCATTATTCACCTGCCCCTGAAGGATTAAGTATTGAGCCAGAAGCAGAATACCAGCTAAATGGACCCAATCTAGTATGGAAAATGCTGTGTGTGCCAATAGCATAGTATTGGAGTGGGATTTGTCCTGAAATCAACAAGGTCTTGTTGCAGCCCCCAGGACAGCATGGATGAACTCACAAAGTCAGGATTGTAGCAGATCATTACAAGGCTCATACGGAAATCCATGGCCTGGTTCTCCAGCATGTCCACTCGCAGCATCTCCTCCTCCGTCTCGCCACCTGGGAGACACAACAAATGTCAGAGTGCTCACCGGCAGCCACCCAGCCAAATCCCAGCCCCTTGAT